GATGCATCCCACTCCTCGGCCACTAGCTCCAGATTCACCACCACCGTCGTTGCTACCCCGTGCTAGGAGGTGGGTAAATAGGAGAGGCCAAACTCGCAATGTCGAGGCTTGACATCATCTCCCGCTCTACAAGGATATATTAGATCTACTGGATGGTGATCTGGTAAATATTTGACTTAGTACGTTTGTTAATACATGATTTGTCTTGCGTTTACTTACTTTCTTTTGTTTAATAAATAGCTCATATGGAGGCCATATAGCGACAAGCTCAGAACCAGTTTGCCATACTATTGCTCAGAAGGTCGAGCCGTGTGGCTTTCTGAGGTCCCATTGATCTGTCTCGATATAGTTGAGCATCATCCGATGGGGAGAGTCTTACGACAGTTTGGCCGACCACAGCATATACCCGCTCATCCCAGTTGGCAGACCACTCATTACGAGCGGCTTATAATGCTCAAACAGTTGCATCGGTTTTGGCATAATTTTAACACTCCTTTCAACCAAGAAAGATGCACTATGTAATCTATCAACGAATCTCTCTGTCAGCTGCTTGAATGACATTCGCACCATGGCAGTGAGTGGTAGTCCACAGGATGACTTCAACTATCCATTGAAGGACTCTGATACATTTGTAATTAAAATTCTCCATCTTTTGCCACCATCCTTATGCAGAGTCCATTTCTCAATCTCAAGATCCCTCAACCAAAGATAAGCTCCTTTGTCTTCCTGCTTAATTAATTCCATCTGCATCAAGAATTTCCTCTCTTGATGATTTGTTGCATCCATCCATATTAGATCACGCAACCTCTTATTCGGATAAGCCCGCTGGAAGTTGACCTTCAAGTGCCTAACACAGTAATGATGGTAGTCGTACAACTCCTTCCATTCATCCAAAGCACGCACAGAATATAAAATCCCATCACGTCGATCAAATATTAGACAAATACCTGAACATTGTCTCACAACGTGCTCTTTCAAACGGTTTAAAAACCATGTCCAAGTCTATTTACTCTCATTGGCACAAATAGCAAAGGCAAGAGGAAATATTTGGCCATTAGCATCTACCCCAATGGTAATCTACATATTTATATCGTACTTCCATACACATGTGTCCCGTCTATGGAGATTATCAATGACAATGAACAAAATCATCAATGGATGGTTTAAATACCCAGAACACATATCTAAATATGTTTTCTGCAATGTAAGGACCTCGGTCGTGCTTCCATTCAACAACTGTCCCTGAATTATAGTGTTGCAAAGAAGCTTTGTACCTCGGTAGAGCCGTAAATGACTTATCCCAGTTGTCATAAACAATCTCAAAAGCACGTTTATGCCCAAGAAATGTCTTTCTTTTGGTAATGGTACACCTATATATCTGCACAACTGATGTTATGCACTCCTTCACCTTGTACTTTATGGACGATTCAATATGTGGAATCAAGACAAGAGAAATCAAATCAACGTTCAAGTTAAAATGATTCCCATTGAATGTGTCCATATTACAAGTATGCTTGCCATTATATTTCCCCACCACCTATATATATTATTTTTTAACTTTCTCCCATGCAGCATTCACTTACAACGTTGGTCCCATTTACGAAAAATCACCTTATATGTTTTTCTATATGACTCAGCAACCTCAATCTCATGATAATTTTTGTGCTGTAAATTCACATTGCCCTATTAAGGTGAGCCTTGTCATTGAAAAGCATATTTTTGCGGAGCTCCATTGGTCTACTTTCATCCCACATTGATATACGAATTTTATCAAGATCCCTTGTGAGGGCATCCATATCTGGCGGCAAGTGATCAAGGTAGGGAATCTCTCTTGAATAAAATACCTCACGCGACTCTTATACTGCTGGTCTAATGGTAGGTGGAGTCTGCATATACGGAGCATGCTGAGTGGTGGCATCATGCTCCATTATCAAATCTGGTTGCTCATTGTCACTCTCATCTGAGAAGTGTGGTTCCTCATTGTCACTCTCATCTGAGAAGTGTGGTTCCTCATTGTCACTCTTACCTGAGAAGGGTGCTTCATCACCTGACTCATCAACATTATTGTCATAGTCACTATCATCTTTCTCACTTTGTGCATCTGCCATATCCTGATTCAAAATATCGTCATCACCCAACACCGTCATGTTGCTCATTTTTCCTACACAATGAATTAAATAATTAATATCTTGTACATTTCAACATAATATATTAACTTTAACGCTTAAACATACCATTCATAATTTATAGATAGCCCATGATGCTCCTTATCAAATTGTTGATGACTCGAGGATGGACCAACATGATTCATCCTTTCAAAAGTAGGTGGAGTTCCAATGTTGGTTGGTTCATAACTAGTAAAATTTATATCTGGCCGGTAACCCCTATGAAAAAAATACAAGTTGTTATTATTATAGACATAAAACAAATAGTTATACTACAACTAGGTAAGTTGCAACTTGGCGACCCTCCATACTGCTGCATTAGCAAGAAGTTGTGTCCTCGCTCCTCGTTAACCCATGTAGATAAGTTTAGATCAGGCCAGACTCTTTCATACGGAACCTGGTCGAATAAAACAGCTTTGAAAATTCTTCCAGATGGTTGAGTGTCCCAGCTCCTCGTTAACCCTCCAGTCCTGTTGATGTCTTCGGACTTTACGTATATTTCCAACATACTTATCATAAGAACATCCCAGTGTTCATCCGTAGTCCTCAAAAATCTTGTAGAGTTTCATAATCATTGATGTTAAACTCGACATAACAAGCCACACATTGTGAAGTAATCGAATACGTATAACTTTCCAATTACCTTAAGATTAACCGAACGTTTATTCACACACATTCTTTTATAAATCAGAGCTACCAATGTGTGGTATTCCAATGAGTGACAACTTAATAATACATTATGGAGAATAACTATTGTGTACCGAATTATTCTCCACCACAGCCTCACGCCCAAATATAATGCAACCCTAACTCTTCGCTCATCAGACATCATAGAAAGGTTCAAAGAGAGCTTTGTATAGATTGATGAAGATGAAGGGATGTATAAAGGATGCTGAAGAACAAAGTAATGGTTCAAATTCACTCAAGAATGATTTTTTTCAAGAATGAACATTCGACCTTAAGTAAGCAACTATAAGTGCCTTTGGCACCTAAAAAATGTGCATACAAATAAGTGCTTCGCCGTACAATTATTAGAGCTGTCATTTAAGAGGTCAGAAAAAATGAACGTATATCGCATGTAATAAATGCGCTATGTGTATAACGCATGTATTAAATGCGCTATACTAGTGAATTATGATGCCAGCCATTACATGCAAAATTGAAGTGCATAAGCATGTATTACATGCGCTATACGTTAACGGGGTAACTGGATGTTAACGTATAGTGCATGTAAAAATATGCGCTATATATAAAATGGTACACCATTTTTTTATGCACCAATTTTGGTCTTTTGAGTCCAAAAAGTTACTATTTAGGTTCCGGAACCACACTAAAGTATTTAAATTAAAATTTGTAACTTGAATACATCTAAACTCTACCTTTCTAAAAAGAAAAGTATACTTTCACATTTTCTCATATAAAAACAATCTCCCTATACAAAATGTATACTATACATATTATTTAAATAGTCTACCGTTCTTTAGATATTTTAAGTAGAGTAAAACGTTTTGTTTGTTACCTACCTCACATGCAAATAGGAATAGGAATAGGAAAAGAAAACAAAGAACGGCAAAGGGTCAAATATACTCATGTACTTTCGAAAATGGTCTAAGAATACCCCTCGTTATACTATTAGGTTATCTATACCCCTCCCATCATACTTTGGAACAAAAATATCCTTATTTTGGATGGAGTGCCACGTGGCAGCACCTCATGAAAACGACCCATTTCTTTTTTTTATCCGATTTGTTTTAAAAAACCTACCACCTGACCCAATTTTCACCCAAGGCTAAACTTAGCATCTTTTGTTCTAAAGCAAATTTTTTGTAAAAACTGAAAAAGAATGCTTTAAAAAAATATTTTTCAGTTTTTTTATAGCATTGTTTTTTGTAAAAACTAAAAAAAAAAAGATTTTGCAAAATATTTTCGTTTTTTTAAAACTAATGCACCTGTAGTCCAATGCTTTAGGAAAGTCTTTTTTTTTCTTCAGTTTTTACAAACAAAAAAAATAGTTTTTCAGTTTTTTTAAAGCATATATTTTGTAAAAACTGGAATTTTCTTTTTGTAAAAACTAAAAAAAGAAAAGGAAATTTGCAAAATATATATTTTTCAGTTTTTTAAAGCATTTTTTTTGTAAAAACTAAATTTTTTTTTTTTTTTTTGTAAAAACAGAAAAAAAAGAAAGAAAAAAAAAGCATTTTCCTAAAGCAGTGGACTATAGGTGCATAAGTTTTAAAAAAGCGAACATATTTTGTTGAATCTTTTTTTTTTAGTTTTTACAAAATAATTGCTTTAGAAAATTACTTTTCAGGTATGGGTAATGGGTAAGGGTCTTTTTAAAAAAATATTTTTCAGTTTTTTCAGTTTTTTTTTAAAGCATTATTTTTGTAAAAACTGAAAAAAAAGATTTTGCAAAATATTTTTATTTTTTTAAACTAATGCATATATAGTCCACTGCTTTAGGAGAATCTTTTTTTTTTTTTTTTTTTTTTTTTTTTCAGTTTTTACAAAAAAATATTTTTTTTTCAATTTTTACAATAACAAAAAATGAAAAATATTTTTTTAAGCATTTTTTTTTAGTTTTTACAAAAAAATTGCTTTAGAACAAAAGATGCTTAGTTTAACCTTGAGTGAAAATTGGGTCGGGTGGTAGGTTTTTAAAAACGGATCGAGTAAAAAAAAGAAATAGTTTATTTTCATCTGGTGCTGTCACGTGACACTCCAACCAAAATAAGAGTATTTTTGTTCCAAAGTATGACAAAAAAATATAAATAACTCGGTAGTAATCTTATACCATTTTGGAAAGCAAAGGCTTATATTTGGCCCGATTGATAATGGGACGTGACTCCCACCTTTACTGCCTTCCACAATAAATAACACGACCCCAACGCAAGTCAACTATAGCCACCACATTCCACGCCAAGAAAACCATTAACAAAGATCAAGAAAATACCAAAAGCAGATAGACATTGCAATGGAGATGACAACAGAAATGAAGAAAGGTCCAACAACAAGGGCATCTCAGAATGTCCTCCCATACCAAACAGCAAGAATAGGGGAAAAGTACACTCTTGGGAAGAAACTAGGGCAAGGGCAATTTGGGACAACATACCAATGCATAGAAAATGCAACAGGGGTTGAATATGCGTGCAAATCAATCCCAAACAGGAAGCTTTTATGCAGGGAAGATTATGAGGATGTGTGGAGAGAGATTCAGATAATGCATCATTTATCTGAACACCCTTATGTAGTGAGGATTAAAGGGACTTATGAGGACAATCTGTTTGTCCATATTGTTATGGAATTGTGTAAAGGCGGGGAGCTTTTTGATAGGATTGTTGAAAAGGGACATTTTAGTGAGAAGAAAGCAGCACAATTGATGAACACTATTGTCAAGGTTGTGGAGGCTTGTCATTCTCTTGGTGTCATGCATAGAGATCTCAAACCTGAGAATTTCCTCTTTGATACCTCTCATGAAGATGCCAAGCTTAAGGCTACTGATTTTGGCTTGTCTATTTTCTATAAACCTGGTTCGTTTCCATCATACTTTTCTTCTTCTAATGCTGATTTGCCAATACAAATTAATTTCATTTCTTGGGGATCATATTTGCTCCTCTCTTTGCCTTTGTGTCTCCCATCGGTTTATTTTTAGTACTTTTGTTGATTGAACTCTGCCATTCACCTTCTATCAGATATAATAGAACTCGCTACGTCCTGGAATGCATCATATGTGGTTCATCTAAAATTAAATTTGCTTGAGAAATTCAAGAGCACCTATTATTCTTTGGTGATCATGTCCTGTTCCCATTTTAGAATCGGATTTTTCACTATGACTTCTTGTTAAATGCATTTGTTTCGTCTCTCAACAATGTTTTTTGAGATGTAATTTGAGCAAAAGCTTATATGCAAATTAGCAATGTAGTGAAAATTCTGGAGAAAGGAACCATTCAGTGAGTTAGACAATAGGTTAACATTTATGAACTTTGTGTTAACTCTAGTCTCGTCTGAAACATGGCATGGTTCCCTTTTTCAATGTATGATTCAATCATTTTTGGCTGATCTTCCGTGATTGTGGTGTGATATTGGACTATTTAAATGTGCTCTAACAACATAAACTATTTTTTATTTGCAGGGCAGTATCACTCAGATGTTGTAGGAAGTCCTTATTATGTTGCTCCTGAAGTGTTGCACAAATTTTATGGGCCTGAAATAGATGTCTGGAGTGCCGGTGTCATCCTTTACATCTTATTATGCGGGGTTCCACCTTTCTGGGCTGGTAAATTTTGTATCTTCTTTCTTTATTAGAGAGGAAGATCAAACGCTGATTGTCTACTTCTCTCTATCTAATTAAATTCCTTGATTTTCTTTTCTCAAATTTTGACTTGCAGAGACGGACAATGGTATCTTCCGACAGATATTGAAAGGAAAGATAGATTTTGAATCAGAACCTTGGCCTCACATTTCGGATAGTGCAAAAGATTTGGTAAAGAAGATGCTCACCAGGGATCCTAGAGCACGAATAACTGCGCATCAAGTTCTATGTGTGTTAAGCTTTTAAAGGAAGTTGCAAAATCAAAATATAGTTTCATCTTCAGCGCGTTTCTTTAATTTGTTATTTTTCAGGTCATCCTTGGATTGTGGACGACAACGTTGCTCCAGACAGACCCTTGGGTTCTGCAGTTTTATCACGCCTAAAGCAGTTCTGTGATATGAACAAACTCAAGAAGATGGCTTTACGAGTGAGTATTCTTTTACTAGATTTCCTTCTTTTCTCTCAGTAAGCTTTTTAGCTGTAATTTTTGGTTCTGGTTTAGTACATTTGATGCCTCATATGCCGAGATTCTTAGATTTGAATAGAAACATAAGTATTGCAGCAGTAGCAGTGGTATGAGGATATGGCGGGTTATTAACTTGGCCTCTTTATGTGGATTATGGATCATGTCTATATGCAAGTTGTTTGTGTTCGTCTGTTGTCAAGATAATTTCACTTGTGAATGGATCGACATATTTTATGATCTGATCAACGTAGAAAGGACTGGAATTTGGATCGTGAAACTTCTGCACAGGGTACCTAAAAACAGCTTTATCATCTGCTTTTTGGGGTTTCCCAAGTGCGTTATCATTCAGGAATATGAACTTGGTGTCTATTTTCAATTAATGAGCTAAAAAAGAGAATCATGAAAACTTTTGGACTTTAATGTGTATCTTGATATTGTAGAAGAGATCATGCAATCTGAATTTCTGCATGATTCAGCAAGGAATTTACTTGAGATTCTTGGGAACAAACAAAACTAAAAACTATCTTTTATGAGTCAATTACTCTATAATACATGAAGTATACCTTGTCAATTTCTCTGTTTATATTACTTTATAAACAGGTCATAGCAGAAAGGCTTTCAGAGGAAGAGATAGGCGGCCTAAAGCAATTATTCAAGATGATTGACACAGACAACTCTGGAACAATCACATATGATGAACTAAAACATGGTTTGAAAAGAGTAGGATCTGATCTAACGGAGTCCGAAATCAGGGCCTTGATGAATGCGGTACTTGTTCTTTATTCCGTCTCTTTATTTAACTCCATATCGACTATTCATGAAATTCCTTTAGTAGGATTTGTTCAGTAGATAATGGCAGGATTAGTTATCTGATTATAGTCCATTCACATAAGTGGCAAATGACATGGCCACAATGTTTTCTGTAGGCTGACTTCGACAACAATGGCACTATCGATTACAGTGAATTCATCGCTGCGACATTGCATTTGAACAAGATGGAGAGGGAGGAGAATCTTCTTGCTGCATTTTCCTACTTTGACAAGGATGGTAGTGGTTACATCACCATTGATGAGCTTCAACAAGCTTGCCTAGATTTTGGCTTTGGTGACACTAAATTGGAAGATATTATCAAAGAGATTGATATAGACAATGTAAGTCCCCATAACTCTAGGCCTCATTTGTTTTTTTTTAAGATTAAGACGTCTGAATCTGAATACACATCTGAATATCAAGATGTGCATTAAGACTAAGACATCTAAATCTGAATACACAACTGAATATTAAGATGTGTATCAAGATCTGAATACTAAATGATTAAGACGGTTTGTTTTTTAACATCTGAATGTATAAAATTTATCTTTATTTGAAAATTAATAAACACAAAATNGCGATTATGGTTGAGGATAGTGGTGATGGGTGGTAATAATTAATAATGGTGGGTGGCGGTGGTGGTGGTGGTTGTGATTGAGAAAGGTGGTAGTAGTTATAATGGTACGCAATGCCGACTATGGTAGTTGATGATGATGGGGTGGTTAGTTGTGATAGTTGAGGTGTATGAGTTTGTGGTTGTGGTTGAGAATGATGGTGGTGGGGGTAGTGGGTGGTGGTTGTTGATAATGGTGGCGGTTATGATTGAGTATGACGGTGGTGGTGGTGGTTGATTATAGCGGTGGTGGGTGGCATGGTGATAGTTGATAATGGTTGGTAGTGGTGATAATTAATAATGAATGTGGAGGATATCATCTTAATGAAATTAAGTCTTTGTTATAGATCTTAATCATACACACCTATTCAGACACATTAAGTGGTTGTGAAGTAAAAAAAAAAAAACAAACATACTTAATGATTAAGATCTGAATAATTAAGATTCAGACTTTAAAAACAAACACACTTAATATCTGAGATCTGAATGATTAAGATTCAGACCTCCATTAAGTGCAAATAAATGAGGCCTAAACCACTCTTTTATGATATTACAAGACGTTAATATGTTTTATTCTCAAGAGTTGATATATAATCCATGACTATAAAAGATATTTTATTTTTTCAACTCGGTGGATAATGGGCCCGCCCATTTACACCTATCCATTTAAATATGGCAAAAGATATTTCATGGACAACTAATGTCCATGAAATAAAAATACTAGTATAAATTATGTCCATGCACTTCCTTAAGTGTTAATTAACCCCTCGAGTTCAACTCACTCTCCCTCCTTGGGACCATGTTTGCAATTCTAGTTATTCCCCTAGCACCCTAGGCTAGTTGACTAAAGAAGGTAAAAATCAGGATTGTGAAACTATTCCAATAACTAGAATGTTAAATGCAAGAATCCAAACTTAAAGAGTGGCTTTTGAGGATTCCCTTTATTTTTGGTTGGCAGGATGGACGCATAGATTATGGGGAATTTGCAACTATGATGAAGAAGGGAAATACAGGACTGGCAGCCAGAACAATGAGAGGCAATTTAAATTTCAACCTGGCAGATGCTCTTGGAGCCAGTGACTGTGACAAAGATCAATAGGAGATTGCTATTCCTTTTGTAATAATAGCTTAATAATAGCTCCTTGAAATTTTAAAATCCAATTTGGCCCCAAAGCTTTGGTCCAGTAGTAAGAACGCAACTCGTGATGTGTAGGTGAGGGCCAACACAAGCCTGGTATTAAGTGGTAAGGATAAAATGACAGATTTATTGTCCACCGGATTTCGAACCTTGTGCCAATGATCCTCAAAGATTTCTTCATCATAAAAAAATGTAATTTTAAACCCAATGTTTTTTTTTTTTTTTTTTTTTCCCAAATTCTACTTCTTGTGATTCAGAAGCTCACATAGTCGGTTAAAGGAGTTAGTCATATACATAATGCATTTTACCAACTTTATATTTGGCTTGTTTTTCAGATATACTTTTTCCATACTCTGATTCGTGACGCTTAACTATTGGGTCGTAATGTTTATTCTTTAATTGCACCCTGTCAAATTAAGAAAATACTACGCGCGGTGCGCGTGTCCTTGTTGATGAATATAAATTTTTAAAAATAATATAAAAAATATTCAAAAGATATATTTGCATTATAGTATAAAAATTAATAAAACTTTACAAGTTTCAAAATGATAGATATTAATCATATTTAGGAATTTGATCCACTATATTTTTATACCTTTGTAATCACGTAGACATCCAAACTCAGTTATTGTTAACATTTCTTATAAAGTTTTAGCTCGATCATTATTTTATATTACGTATGATTTCTTTCTAAAGTACTTTTACTCTGGACCAATTACGTATATATGTCATTTTCATATTCATATTTCTTTGTACAAAATATTAATAAATCTTTTTACCATTTAAAATAGATTCCACATTTAAAAAAGATTATCATTTGATTATTTTCTAATATTTAGATAATAGAAGTAGACAAAGAATTTGAATATGTTCAAAGGAAAAAGAACGTCCTATTTGCTCTTTAAAGGCTAAACTCATGCTTACCTCTTACCTCAAATATGAATTATCGTTAATTCTTCCATTTTTTTTATATAAAAATTATGTTTTTCATGCACTTTTTTTTTACGTTCCCTTTTAAATATTAGCATCAAATTGTAGGAAATGTTAGTTACTTTAATTCCATTAATTTACTCCTTTTTTTCCACGGAATATACATCCACGAAAAGTAACATGTAAAAATTATAATTAAGTTACATATATAGTTCAAATCAGAAAAAATTTATGTAAGGTAGAATTTTAATTGACTTCAAAATTCTTAAGTTTTAAGAATTCTTACTTAGTTCAAATAGGAAAAGATTTAATAACAAAATTTTTAGCCGATTTTAAAGTACTAAATATTAGGATAATAATTAAATGACTATTTTGTCCAGTGTGACTCTATTTTTAAAAGGTAAAAAAGACGAATCATATTTCCCTAAGAGCTTTCATGCTTTTAATATTTTATAGATATAGATAGATGACGTGGATCATAATACTTACATTCCTAAGAAAAAGCTTCATTTTTATCTTATTATACTCGGTTAACTTTATAAACGAGAAAGCATCATCTAAGAGTTAATGATTTTAGCCTAAAATCACAAAACATATTCTCCTTGAGTATTGAATTCTCAGGAAATAGTACGACACGGCATAAACACTTTACATCAATATTAGTGTCGATTCAATCATTTGAAGTAGTTCAAATAATAATAATAATAATAATAGAACAGCCATAAAACAAGCAATTGAGTACAATCTTTCACAAGCATTTTAGAGCATAGAAGGGATGTAATGAGCTCCTTGACCAGTTGCTGCATTTCCCAGCTTCATGCATTTGTCCAAATTTTGCAAAATTTATAGATCTATTTATCGAAAAATAATTCATATAAAGATCTCACAACATCTTGTTCCTCTATGAAGGTAATTGCAATGAATATTATCATCTTCCAATCAGAATCTATTTACTGTCAGTTACTTTTGGCATTACAGTAAATAGTAGTAGTAGTATATTCTATCACTTTGGCTTCAACCGACGACAGGGAGTAAATGGTTATTAACATAAAAAATGGGCGAAGAACACAGTATATAACATTTATCAACCCTCCTGATTGCGGCAGGAAAACCTGTCAGTCACATGAAACTGCCTTTCCACCGTACTGGAAAATGAAGGGCTGTACCTCGGTCCTGCCTCTCCAATTTGCTGTAAAGTCGTAATACAAATGTTAAAGTTCCTTTACAAGGTGATCTGCTGGTCGAGAACTCTATTCGTATATTCGCTTCCTCTTCAAGACGGTTGGTAAAATTATGAGAGCACCAATGAGGAAAAGCACAGACAACGTCTTGAAATCATATAGATCTTTGACAGACCTCAGTTCCCCAAGAGCTACGCCAGCCTGACAATGTGAAGAATGAAAGTAGCACTTATGAGGTTGCAGTCATACAAAAGAATGAAATGGTTGTACATCACAAGCAATTTTGATGCATCTGAGATCATCTCAACCAAAATGTACCAGCTCAGCCTCAAGGCTGAGTTGGCTGCACTAGTTGGGATCTGCTGTGTGGATCAATCACCAAATTATTCGACTAAAGAGTATTTTGACATATTTTTATGCCGTATATTTCTCAGTTCATTCATCCAGTATAGTTTTCTATTTTGGGAATTACCAAACAAAACTCCTGATAACCCTACCCCATTCACTCCCATAAAATGTCACAAATTATCTGTGGCAGCTAACCCTCCTGCCAGCAAACAATTGGATTACAGTTTATCTCTTCAGGGACACAATAGTCTAAAACAACTTCAAGGAACAGAAAATACAGACAAGAAAGCTGAAGAGAAAGAGGGGAAGAAGAAAAAAAAGAAAAGAAATGGAAGATAGAAACCACTACTAACAGAAGAAAGACTTACCTTTACTGTAATATAAGCAGCTGGGATGAGACCAACTGCGGTGGCCAAAAAGAAAATATGGAATGGTATATCCACAATAGGAGATGCCAAATTGATGAAAAGATTTGGCAATGTTGGAGTTATTCTCAAAAAAAGCATGTAGTTGAGCAACTTATCCCGACGCTTGGCTATCTGAAACCACAAAGTTTCACATTAGTGTGCACCAAATTGGGAACTATGATGAATATAGTAGAAATAGGTAGCACATCACTAGTAATTACTTTCAGAAGATTACAGACCTCTGCCTGGAAAAATCTCAACTTTTCAGGCCACATCCAGTTAACTATAGGCCTGCCGATCAATTTAGACAGAAAATAGCAGGACGATGCACCAGCTGTTGCATTAAAGACAACCAAGAGAAGCCCTCTGAAAACGCCGAAAAGTGCTCCAGCAAGTAAGGACATGAAAATTGTCCCAGGAATCATAAATGTCTGCATGAATATGTATATTGAGCAGTAACCAAGAATGAATTTTGCCGGGTAGACTTCCGCATACATTCCGAGGTTATCCCTGAAAGAAACAAAATAACCTAATGAGTCATGACATTCCAACAAAAATAGAACCAGCGAGAAAATAAGGACACACCTCGCAAAGCAAGAGATCCAGTGTCAACAACAACAACAATAACAAACCCAGTGTAATCCCACAGGTGGGGTCTGAGGAAGGTAGTGTGTACGCAGACCTTACCCCTACCTTGAGAAGGTAGAGAGGCTGTTTCCGGTAAACCCTCGGCTCACAAAAAATAAAAAGATAAAAAGGATCAAGAGATCTAGTGTCGTATCAAAATATTTTTACCAAAATTTAGAAAAGAAAACACCATTAACAGAAACTACATGAAAGTTTTCAATCATTGAGCAACAGTACAAGCAAGCGATGATGAAGAAATAAGGATAACCACCAGTAAGAAAGACTGCTAATATTAGACACTAACTTACTTTTTTTTCTTTTTGTTTTCTTTTGGATAACCGAGTAATCCACAGTGGCGCAAGGTTTGAAACCCGGTGGATAACCCTTCTCCACTTAAATACTAAGGTTTTTGTCTGAAGCAGGGTTTGAACCCATGATGTGACGTGCACCTAACCCACACATCATGCGTTGTGCTTTTACCACGAGCAAAGCCTTGGGGTCGATGCGTACTTTCTGGCAAATATTGTAGTTATTCTCGGAGCCAAATCAAAAGTCTGAGGGCCAATATGTATCCAGCCTGTTTGATTTTCTTAATATTACTTGCTCATATTTCTTGCCTCATATATTTTCATAAGAAAACTAAAGAGTGATCTCCTCTTCTCGGAAATATTTTCTGATGAGTCCAAGCTTTGAAACAAAATGATGTGTGCTTTTCTCATTTTGAACCAACTCAAACATAAAAAGATAAAACAAATGAAAAACGTGCTACCCTAAACATCTTCAACAGAAAAAAAGAAGAAAAAAGGGGTAATATATTGCCCCCCCCC